GAATCCCACTGTTGGAGTTAGGGTAGAATACTCAAAATACATCCCACAAATTCAAGGGGCACTCAGAAACAGCTGATATTATTAATGCTGACTCTTTCATGCAGGCTAGCTCTGTTATTTATTTATGGTTTTATACACAAGGTTCAGTTTAACTACTGTGGGGTGGATTATGCACTTTGTGGTGGTGCTCCCCTGTCTAGCCAGGGCCTTGCCAGGAATTGTCCTGACAACATAAAACAGCGATATAAACCCAGGAGATTGCCTACTCTTGGGGGTTTTCCTCTCATCTGTTAAAAATACTTTTATATAGTTATCCATAGGCATGATCTGGTAAAGCAGTGCCATTTATCTTATATCATTAATGAGTAGGAATGATGCACTACTATTGGGTTGAGGAAAAGTGGTGGTTTAACTTTTCTATCACATAGACCTCTCTGCCATAACAGGACAAATTTATTCATAATTGTATAGGGGGTTTTATTCCATTTTATAAAAAGGCATAAGAATAATATGTGATATTCAGCATGCCATTTTACATGCTGTCCAAACACGACAGTTTTAGCAGGATTTGTGCCAGATCTCTTCTCAGGCAACTTCATAGCTCACAAATTACCATCCAGCAGCACACAGGTACCGTCAGCACCAGAGCACACTGACCTTTCCCTGGCATGCCTCTGGCTCTGTGTACATGACATTTAAGCAATGGTCAAGCAGAGATCCTACATATATTGACTGAGTAATAAAGAAGGCTTTTTTCCATCCCATACCTGAGGTAGTCGTGACAGCTGATGGAAGTGCTGAATTTCCAAGGTCTATAACAAATCAAAGCAAACATTTTTACTCCAGGTGAGAAAGGTGTTTATTCTGCTTGAGAAAAGTGAGTGATTAAAAGGTTCAAGAGTGAGAGTGTGCATCACGCTTAATTTCCAAGTAATCTTTCAATGCGGATGTCAGCCAAATGGTCCAGTGAGAAACATGAAGTGCTGTAAAGTCTCTGGAGAAACAGAAGTTTTGAGGGAAAAAGTTTTGGAGCCCCTAGCACCTCAATTCAAAAAGCAGAGGTGAGTTACATGGTTTTATCCCATATAAACAGATGCACCTTATTAGCATGCACATTGAAGTAACATATATGACCCAGTGGTGGCACCTGCATAGCTCCATCCATGAGGCATTTCAGAGACTGCAACTCTGACAGGTAATTTCAGGGACACTTTGCACTGAAAAGTGCTCACTGAGTCCTCAAAGATGAGGAGAAGGAGTTATTATTTTTAATTAAAGGACTGTTAACCAGCCAGCCAAGCACAACAGAGACAAGAACAACCTGCAACAACCTGTACTCACAGGAGCAAGCTTACACCGAAAACCACACTTCTTTCCATGCAGTTTGTCTAGTGTTTCTCTGATGCACTCACATAACCCACTGCTGAAGTGCAGCTGCCTCCCATGTGGAGCAGAGCAAGCCACTCCAGGAGAGGCATCTCCAAAGGGCTTCAGCTGAGGTGTGGAGGGAACAATTTATCTTTCTGCAATAAGCTGATAATAGGACAAACTTGCTGGGGCAGAGCACAGATTTACCGAATTTACGCAAATTAGGAAACATCCCATCAGTTCTTTAATTATGCAAAAGTGTTGAGGATCTTGGCTGAGTACTTAAGCAGAAGGTAGAACCATTAGTAAAGCTGTTATTTTTAATTATCAGTTCAGTGCTGAAAGAGCTATATTCAAATGCCAGCTGAAGCTTCAGAAATAACATTAAGTGCCCCTCAAGGCTGGAGTTTAATTATGCTTCATCTTAATTATGATAGATTACATCACCAAAATATCTGTTTATAGTATTTTCTCTGAAGTCATGGCTGCAGGAAGGGGTACCTTACTACTCATCCAGAAACAAGTTTGCAAAACCATTTCTACAACAGCTTTAGAAATTTATAGATACACCTCTAACTTAACCCAAGTTATTACATTCTGTAATTTATCCTACCTTCTGAAGCCATGGTGGTAAAAGCTTCGGATGAGGCTTCATTAGACCTATTGTCTGTGAAATAAAATATTAAAAAAAGGAAAAGATGAAAGCAGTTCTTAATAGTAGTTATGCTTTTGTTATAAAGGATTAAAATGTAGTTTGGGGTTTGTGTCATACTGTACCTTAGTATAGCACCTTCACAGAACATAGCTGAGAATTACTTTCTTTTCTTTCTGTCATATCTAAATATATTAACATTTTTATATAGGGTGGATCTATCTTAGAGTTAGCATAGCCTGCAGGCAAGAAAGTAGACTGCTTTAACTGACAGCTTTTCAATTGGAATATATTTCTACAAAACTGCAAATTGGGTGAAATGAGTAATTCTGGAGAAAAATGACCATTTATCTCCCTTCCCTACAAATCTGTATTTCCAGAGGAGTAAGCTCTGGCTTTTGATGCAGTCTTTTTTTGTAGGAAAACATACCAATAAGCGTATCCATGGCCACAAGTGAACCCAGCTAAGCCGCAAGTAGTCACCACAGTAGGTGATGTACCCATTGAGGCTGCTAAGGGTGCTAAAGGAAATGAGTCTGCCTTTCTTGCCAGTCACCCTGGATCCTCAGAAATGCAATAAACCTCTGCACCGCTGCATCTCCTGCTTTCACCAGCTACTTATCATAGAATCACAGAATGGTTTGGGTTGGAAGGGCCCTTAAAGATCACCCAGTCCAACCCCTTGCCATGGACAGGGACACCTCTCACTAGACCAGGTTGCTCAAAGCCCTGTCCAACCCCAGTGGCCTTGAACGCTTCCAGGGAGGGGACTTCCCTCATTGTGTAGCTAATCCTTATAGTACGAGTTATAGGGGAGTTTCTCCGTTGTCCAAAATGATTCAGCTGTTTCAGGGGCTTTTTGCAGGTTTCACTGAAGATGTGCAGCATAGCCCTGACTCCAAGGGTTTGAATTTTCAGAGAGCTGCATTGCACACATGCAGGCTTTCTGCCAGAAGTGCTCTGTGAGAAACACATGATTATAATAGTTCACTGGTGCCGTGTGGCTAAGCTAGTGTATTTTTGGGTATGAGAAGTGCAGCAAGATACTGCCTAAACAAACAGCAAGCATCTTATATTTGAGCAGGAGTTTCTCAGCTCATTTAGAGGCTTGAACAAGAACTTGAGCTAAAAAACCTGCCAGAAAGTTCAAGCTGTGTGATAAAATTGTACAATAAAGCTTCCATACTCTTGGCATATCTTCTGTATTTTAAATAACAGAGAATACATGTGTTCAGTGTTCTTAACATTTTACATTTCAGATGTGTCCTATCTATGAAAAACCTACCGAAGGAAACAAATATTTCTTCTGATGAAATATTCCATGTTTCATTCCCAAGGAAGGGAAACAGACATGCACATGAGAAGGTCTTATGTGTCTGGTGGGTCCCTTGCAACATCAGTGTTGATCTCAGCTGGTAGAAACCTTCACTGTCTTGCAAGTCTTCTTGTTCAACAGAAATTTCTGGGGAAAAGAAAAAAAAGAAAAGCTGCAAGATCCTCTCATTGCACTCCAAAATATAAATCTCATCTGTGCAAAATACGGATTCAGAAAAGCAAGCTCATATGGCTGCAAATTTCTTTGCTGAGACACTATCAAAGACTTGGCAAGAACAGCATGGTTGTGCCAAACCATCTTTCCCATCACTGTCAAGTGCAGGGTGCTACAGTCACAGCTGTTTGCCAGCTGTTCCCTTTGAAGAAGCCTGATACTTTCCCCTTCACCCAGACAGACACCTACAGGCTCCCTATGGCAGGGAAGGATGAGGAATGCATGAGCAACCATGGCTTTTCTTGGCAACCGCTTCTACAGCTGCACCAGTGTCCCATTGACAGGTTGTGTTACCTCCAGGCTGCTCCATCAGGTGTGCTCTGTCCATGAACCACATGAGGATTGGCTTGGGAAACGCCTTTCGCACCACGCAGCTCAAGTTAGGCTATGGGGCAGTAAAAGCCAGTTGTTAGCCTCCATCACTTCTCACCTGGCTGCCAGCTTCCAAAATCCCTAACAGACAGAGTTTATTTACCCACCATCCCACTCAAGATGGAAGCATTCACTTCCACTTTATCATGTTTCTTCCCTCCCCATTTTTCTGGCTGCAGAAACTGTTGAATGAGCCCAGGGACAACCCCATTGTGCTGGGCCTGGTGGGGCGTGATGGGGCTCCAACACACTCCAGTCCTGTGCAGTGGCAGGAGAGACGTAGTGTGATCCCCCCACCCTCGCACCTCTATCCCAGCACCTCAGTGGCAAACACCCACATGGAGAAATGCTGGAATTGGTAATGGGCACAGTGTGTATGAGGAGAATGAGACACTCCCTGATTGCTATGTAAATCCTTTCTTTGTTAGGTCAATAGAGAGACAAATCCTGTGAAAAAGACTGCCTAGCACAATGATATGTTGAATATATAAAATTAGCTACCTTTATAGAGGGCACAACATGTAAGAGGTTTCCAGAAGTCATAAGGAGTTGAGTGCTTTAGATGCAGTAGTTCTGGCTGTGTGCCAGAAATCTGTGTGTGCTCAATTTACTTTTTCATCATGCAATAGATGGGGAGAACTGGAAGGACCTCAAAATCAAAGCTGGATGAAGGGTTGAGCACTAGCACGGTGGGAGATCTCATCCTCATACTGCCTGGATGTTCCCAATTACATTTACTTAGCAGCTTATGGCATTAAGAGCAATTGCTTTGTCTGTTTAAACAAAGAATAAAAAGAAAAAATAAAAAAAGCCCACGTGCTACCCATGCAGCACAAAACCCTCTTTCTCCCACTTTCGAAGAAAGTGGTTCTCACATTTAGTTGAAAGCAGGCATGATACATTGCAGCCAGCAGAAGTCAATCATTCAGTATGAAGACTGAAACTACCCAGCTGAAACTCTTTCCTTGCCATGGTAAATATCACCTGAACTCATAGTGTAATTGCTTTCCTCTCTTTTCTCTTCATTATTCCCTTATTTTTCAGCCACTTTGAGTTCATGATATTTTTATAAATGCTTCCTAGGAAGAAATACAAATCTGATAGCCAAAGTAGCTTTAAGTCCTGCAAGAAAGGGTAGAAAACAGAAGGAAAGGAGTTGTTTGTTTGAAGATGAAGAATGGACAAGGGCTCTTGGAAGAGTTTCTGTTGCTTGGTCCCATAATAGCAGCACAACCTGAAATGTCAAACACCATGCCTGGAAATAGGTCACCGGGAAAATTATACTGGTTTTGCAGAGCCGACTGACTCATGGCTTGCCTCACAACAGGTGGATATGTTAATACAAGGTTCTGCCTGTCTTGGAAACAAGTGCTGTTTCCAAGGAAAACTTTCTTAGTTTGGGATGCTCACAGATCAAAAGCTTCAACCTACATGGATGCAACAGGAAGCCAAGCGTCATAGCTAGTAGCCAGAGTGGCTTGGTAGTCAGGCATATGGGCCACAGATATGTTTTATACCAAGTATGACCAGTGCGGTACAGCAGACTTTCCCTTTAAGTTTTGCCATTGCCAAACAGGTGATAAAACAAAGGTCCCAGAACATTTGTGTAACTGCTCAGCTCTAAATAAGGGCCCTCAGACCTAGATCCAGTCCCTCCATCTGCATCCGATTGCTCCAGCTGAGTTCTGCTTGCAGCATGACACCTTCATCACCTTTCCATCAACACGCAGCCACATTGGTGCCCCGACCATTGCTCCCACGCCACCTGCTCCTCCCTGTCACCAGAGGGCCTATGTGGCAGGCAGGGGCTGCTGCTGCTTGTCCCCTCAGAGCAGCATGCCAAGTACCGGGTGGCCTTCTTCGAAAGGAGATTTTATGCAGTGTATAGAGGGCAGCTCGAGGCTATTGGGCAGTAGCTGGCAGACAGGGAGGAAAAAGGAGAATCACAAAATCAAATTTTGCCCCCACCACAGACAAGCCCTTAGCTAGCTCTAGTTTGTGCTCACTGAAAGCAATGCTCTGCTACAGGGATGGGACTCGCTCAGAAGAAAAGGTATGAACGGCTGACATTGACTCGCTCATCGCCCTGTGAGCTCAGTCATCCCACCTAGGTTTGGTTCAGCTTAGCCTGCCTGGCCCTGTTGGGGTGACATGGATGTCACAGATGTTACTCTCCACTCCAATATCACTCACCTTCTGCAAGATGCCAGCTGAGCCCTCCTGCAGGCTAACAGAGATCTCAGGGTAGGCTGGAAAGCAAACAGAAATGTGTTAGTGAAATGGATACCGAAGGTCACAGCAACAGCTTCTAATGAGACTTAACAGCCTTGTCTCGTAAAAGGAGTGGAAATGCAATCCTTCATCCACCCACACACCTTGCAAGATAAAAGCTTGCACGGCTTCAATTTGAGGTGAAGGAAGTGGTTTACAAGCATATATCAGCAGTTACTACCACAAGATCTGTGATGTATTTCACTGCCTATCTAAAACTGCACTTGGGCGGCTTTGCTGGAGAAGCGAGCTCAAACCATCCTACAGTCATGGCTTCGGCAGCAGAGCCACCCTTCCCCAGTCCAGCTGAAATAAAACGCTCCCAAGTTGTTGGTTTCTCTGGGTTTTTACCAACCAAAGGCATCTGCAAAGGCTTTCACCAGTCCCAGAACATTTATTGATCTTGGGTACCAGCTACCCACATGCTGTCACCTGGGCAGATGTGAGACAGTATCACACCACAGGCACTTCCTGCCTTGTCAGGAAGCCCAGTGCTCACCTTCACACCAGAGCAGAGGGTCTCTGATAACCACATCCACAAGAAATGATAAAAGTGTTTTCTTTTGGTTTCACAGCATGTCGGTTCTAGGTGTGTCTGACTGTATAGATAAAAGTTATCAGGTACAGTAAGACTCTCTAAGTTGGCAGTAATATCAATTGATTTATTAAAGTAAGGACTGTTGAAACTGTGCTAATATATAGCAAATCTCAAAAGCTTTGGATAAGTCATGCATCTGGCCCTTTCTGAGCCTTAAAACTGAACTGGAAAGAAGTGCAGCCCCTGGATTCCCTAGAAGATCCATAATTCTATCTCTTTCCAACCTGAACTTCATTTTAATCTCTACTATTAAGATATTTGTCTTTTCTTTTATTTTCTTTTTTTTTTCCCTAACCCTGAAGTTTCCCTGTTTTTTTATATAACGAATCCACCAAGGACTCTCTTGCCATCTTTTTTTTAAAATTTACATTTTTCTGCCTAGTGTTACAGATGGATTATGCCTGGGAGTGACCTGTATTTAATTATCATGGCCTTATAGTTTTCTGGACTTAGAGTACCTTTTGGGTGGAATTTCTTTTTTTTTTTCCCCTCTGGGTTTTTCTTAGTTTGTTTTGGGTTGGTGTGGTTTTGTGTTTTGTTTTGGGTTTTTTTTGGTTTTTTTTGTTTTTTTTTTTTGTTTTTTGTTTTGTTTTTGGGTTTTTTTGTGGATTTTTCCTATCAGAAAATGAATGTCTTAAGATTTTATCCTTGTTTCTGCCTTGCCAAAACTGTACAGACAGTAGCAGGGCTGGCAGAAGACAACCATACTTTTTCAGATGTTAGAAAAAGTCTGGTAAACTAGATCTTTTAATCTCAGCTAAAAGTTAGCTGGGAGACTAAATAACATCTAGTGCCTGATCTTCCTTTTGTTTTTTTGACGAGAATGGGTATGATTTCCCCATCTGTATTGGATGCTATCCTCTGCTTTCTCAGAAGACATGTTTGCTGGGTAACTATTCTGGCTGGCAGCTCTCAAGCACAGCTTTGAACGGTCTAATAGATCTTTTCCATTTAATGTCTCAGCCTCTGTTAACAGTTTGACATTCATTTGTCTTTCTAGGATATTTACCAATGTTTTGGGCCTAGCAGAAATTCAATATTTAGTATAGTACTTTCTGCTGCTAAGCTTTTACTCTTACAAAAAAGGAGAAATCAATATTTGGCAAAGTTAGATGTGAAAAAGGCCATACATTTTCTCAGAAACCTGTATCTAAAAGAACTCTGTTCTAGAAAAGAAATATTTTAAAGCATTTCAGTCCAAAAGCACTCTCTTAAAAAAAGCTCTCTCGATTGGCTGTCTGCTTTTGCTCAACCTATCAAGACTCTCAGCTTCATTGAGAGTCTCCTACGTGCCTTCACCTGCCCAGCTCTCAGTCATACTCAGGCCACTTCAAACGTCTGTGGGGAAGAACCACTGCTGCCTTTCAGACTTGGGCTGTCTCCATTTATCCCTGACGCATTTGTCAGAGGGATCCTGCAGAAGGAGCTTTCCTCGGGCAACAGGACCTTCCTCTGCTCCTCCTTCTGCCCGTTACAGCACCCTGGCTTGCTGAGATGGGAAAATCCACAGGTTTCACTTGGCCTCAGTTCTCTAGTCATGTCCTCTCTAATGGATAGGACAACTGCTAGAACCAATATAATGCCCTGTTGACATTATATATGCATACTACAGCATTTTAGGTCCTGCTTTGGCCATTTGGGGCCGGATCTACCTGAAAGGACATAAATGTGCATTTCTTCGTTCCCTGGCCAGCTTTGGCATAAGGAACAAGAGAAATGCTGTCATATGAAGTGGCTGTTTGTCTCCAAAAGTCAAGTGAGGATTGCTGGATTATTCTGGCCACTGTCTCTGCCTGTTCCCTGCCAGCTCCTGCTCTGCCAGTGCATGGGCCTGTGGGCTGGCACAGAGGCGGCTCTGGATCATCTGCTCTCTCAGCACAGAAGAGGTAAATGGAGAAAAGCTGGTATGATGTAATCACAAGCAGCGCAATTTTGGCAAATGGTAACAGGAGAGAGTGAGGCAGCAGGTAAAATAGTTATTTTACCTGCCAAATATTCAACGTGAAAGGGCTAAGAGCACAAAAAAGCGTTTCCTCCAAGATCTGGACTCCACTGACCTGAGGTCTGAAAGACCTTCCTCAGCAGCCACCACAAACCAGCTCTCAGGGACACCCAACCCTGCCCTCAGGGCACCTGCAAGAGTTCTTGACCGCCCAGCACCCTGGCCCAAAGCCAGTCAGCAGTGACTGGGTACATCACACACTGTTCAAGAAAGCCCACCACCAAAGGCCACGGTTGCTTTCTCTTGTCTGCCTCTCTCCCCTGTCATGCCAATATGCCAATATGGGTACATGCACAGACAACCACGTGTAACACAGCAATTCAGAGAATAAGCCAAATAAAGCAACCTCTTAGGCTAGCAGCTACACAAACCAAGGCAAGAGCATCAGGAGGGACAGAGGGGATGGAGAGTTCAAGTATGTTAGTATACTTGAGCAATTACCCAGGTAACACTGCAGCTGTTTGACAAATGTTGATTTTTAAAAGTAAGACTCATGTCTGAATCAAGCAAACACAAGAGGAAATTTCAGATCATTAACGTCTATTTTTATTTCTCTTGCGTCAGTGACCAGCAGCCCTCATATGCAGGTTTGGTGGGGATTTTTGTTTTTTTTGCTGCTCCCTGTTGAATCTTTCTTTGCATTCAAAGCATCAGTCTTGCATGGCCGTGCCATTTCTGAGCCACGGGCTACCTCAGGCAAGCAGCTACAGTCACGGGACCGTTAACAGACCCACTATTTATCACCCATTCATTTTAGGAGTGTTGGAAATATGGTTTTTAGATCCACTGTTCTATAAGCAGAAAATATAACCTGGTTTTCAGTGGGCACCATTGCTTTGGTCCAGTTGTACCTCAACAATTGTAGAGTAGTTCCTAAACCACTAAAAAGCTATATATGTATATGCATGTGTATCTATAAACCTGTAGTGTATTTCAAAAACTGTGGCCTTCAGAACCAGACAGGAGTGTTACCTTTCCAAGTCAAATGGGCAGTTGGCATAAGCTCCTTACCAAATATTCTCATGGTGGTGCTGCTCTTCTTGACTCTCTCTGGGTGGTACACCACATGGCAGGAAAACACCTTGCCATCATCCATGATTTTGGTGGGGAAAATCTTTAGAGCATTATTCAAACCCAGGCGGACTCTTTGCCCATACAACTCGCTGCTGTTCCTGTACACTGCAGGACAGGAGGGCTCCTTGGTCACGAGTTCCTCTTTCCTGCCATTTTCACCCTGTGAAAAGAGCAACCCACACAATGTGTGAAGACCAGGCACACTCCCTCACTATTTTTGTAGACCAGCTCTAATCCCCCTATGAAAATCTTCCTTCACACCCCTAGCATTGCACAGTAGTAAGTGACTGCAACATCTATTTTTTTCCAAATACATTCTCTCCCAAAACTTAAAACCAATAGTGGTCATCATCTTACCAATAAACTATGGAGTAAATAGCTATGTCTTGTGAGTCCTGGTCTCTGTAGCCTGCAGAGAGGGCAATAGTGCTGCTTTCTCACTGCAGCAATCTTTAAGTTGTGCTGAACATCCCATACATATTAAACACAACTGAAATTCTGAGAAAATCCTAGCTCTTCTAGATTTTAAATAGCAAGAACTTGATAATAATAGCTAAAAGTCATATCCTCTTTATGCATGTGTGCCAGGCACCCTTAGATATGGGTGCAGCTGGCACATCCTGGCCATCTATGCCTTGGTACATATTTGCAAGCTATACCCTGAATGACGCATAGCAACCCACATATGTCATTGTGCTGACCTTTGGGTTTTTTTTTCCCCCTTCCTGTGCTACTTTTTAGAGTGAACTAGCAATGCTAAAAAGTAGTAAGGACAAGGTTGTTCCTTAAAAAAATGTTAAGAATTTTAATATTAAGAATGCACTGCAAAAGGGAGATCTAAATAGATAATGAGCTGTGACAAATGACTAAAAAAAACTAAATTATTTGAAAATCACCTTTAAGAAAACCCTCAGCAGTTACAGCTCCTCAATGATAACAGGCAGAAATTAACAGGAAAAGCTCAAGAACACTGCTGGCTGATACTTTTCTCTACATACTGAAATTAATGCTAAAAGGTTACATTAAAACATGCTTACAAGTATTTATCCAGAAAGTGAGATGCAGTACAAAAATATAACAAGCTTTATATCTCACAGCAAATTGCTTAAAAATAGCTTTTATGCAGTTAGCTAGATAACTGGGTTTGCACGTCTTTTGTCTGCATCTGTATCACTGAGGTTAACATAAACAAAAACATTATAGTCAGCTCTGCTTTACTTTTTTTTTAGTATTTTAAAGTGGCCTGTTATCTCACTGACCCACACAGTAATCATGTGTTTTCCAGAAATACTAAAGCTTCACTGCAGCAAAAATCTCTGAGAAATCCAAAGGAACATTTTAGTTCTGTTATATTTTTAATTTTCTTACATTTGTTAAGTTCTTTGCCACTTTCCACAGACCTGCTTTACGTATACTCCTGAAAAATTTAAAAGCTACTAAGATGGAATTTTCCCTCTGCTTCTTAAACAGCTATCATTTGTGGTGTCTATGTTGCAAAACCATGTTTGTACTTTTTCCCTTTATTATCATAGTCCAACACAACCGATACCTTTTGTTTAGCAGATTCTGCAACACACACTAAATTCTAACAGTTCTATTTTAATCTGCAAAAATACCCTGTAGTTCCTTCTGAAATTTCTACCTGAGATGAAAAATACTTACCACTAGCCATTTCAAAGGATAATTGGACAAATTTTGTGAGGTCGTGTCCTCAAGGCATGGAATTTCTAAAGTCTGGTTTAACTGCACTTCCTTCACGTGGTGCTGCTCCTCTTTTGTCATTGCAACAACGACAACAACAATGAAAAAAACCAAAGAAGAAAAATCAGAAACATGGTTTTCTTTGTGCTTTAAAAAACAATGCTGACTACTCTTCTGTTCAAGGAACAAGCACTTTTTGGATTAGAAGGGAACTATAATTTTCAACCATTACTCATAGACAGATCTGTTAAGTGAAAGCCCTGCATCTGATTCTAGATGCAGTTTCATGGCTCTAATTCACAGCTTTATTTGAGTTTCTGGGCAATTCATAAAAACCTTTGCTTAACTGCAGGATCAGGATGTCTCCTTTTGGAGTTGAGAATAATTTGAAGCTTCAATTTTCTCTTACAATTTTTTTCTGAGGCAATAAACTTTCACATCAATTTTGTGCACCTGTATTTCCTTTTTCTCTGAAGATATCTGCAGACTTTCTTTTCACTAAGCAAGGTGTTCAGCATGTCAGGCAGGGTAAGATTAATCCAGCTTTTCAGTGTAAGTGCTCTTTTTCTTATTCTCCAACTTGCCCACTACCAGAAACAG